GGCCTAATAACATCAGCCACACACACACACACACATACACACGCGCGCGTACAGCAGAGAAGGTTTGGAGTCGATAAATACTACTGGAGTGATGAACCGTGGGGTCCTTATCTCTGTTGATACACACACATTCACAGACACAAACACACAAACACACAAAGAGGTGTAAATCAAACCATGCAACCTCCACCTTGGGTAATGCTAATGCCGGCGGTACCGTAACTTTCAACCCTCATAACTCGAAAAGTACTGATTAAAAAAACATTTCATTATAGCGTTTTGGAAAGCTCTCGAGGTAAACTACAAGAATATGCATTGAAAAATGGGGGTTTCCATTTAAGAAATTAAAGGTGACCTTCACGTGATCTTCAAACGACTATCCAAGGTTAAACCAATGACACCATCTTATGTGCCCCTCGAAGTCACAAAACTTTTGTCTGAAATATTTTTCTTTAAAATGTCGCGTTTACAAAAAAATCGTGTGAGACGGGTGGTCTGGGACACCCTGTATATACGAGGGGTGTTCAGAAAATAACGGGAATTTTTAAATTTCGCGGGTTTGGAGAGTCCGATCGTCAAATTTTTTTTTTATTATGTTGATATACATGCCCCTGAAGTATAATAAAATTTTCAGCTGTATTCATTGTTTACTTTGTCTGTGGCAGCCGCTAAGGTTAGATGTGTTTTTATGAACTCGGCGATTTTCGTTCGCGAATGGAAGTTGCCAGAATACCTCCACTGGGACGATTGAGCCTTAGTTTCGACGTCATATCCATAAACCCATGTTTCGTCACCTGTTATAACACGTTTCAGTAATTCTGCATTGTTGTTGATTTCATTTAGTAACTCCTGAGCAACTTCCATTCGCGAACGAAAATCGCCGAGCTCATAAAAACACGTCTAACCTTAGCGGCTGCCACAGACAAAGTAAACAATGAATACAGTTGAAAATTTTATCATACTTCAGGGACATGTATACCAACATAATGAAAAAAAATTTTGACGATCGGACTCTCCAAACCCGCGAAATTTAAAAATTCCCGTTATTTTCTGAACACCCGTCGTAGATATATATAATTTCCTACTTAACAATGTAACTGTTACATAACGCACGTTATATTTACATTATTGAGTGAGCAATTATAACATTGATGTTACGTTACTGTTCGTTGATGTTTACTGGGTACTTACTTTTTGTACGAGAAATATTTTTGTTGGATCTTCACGATTAGATTCCTTACTTTGTGCGCTAGTAAATCCCTGTCATCTTTCGTGAATCCCAAGTCTACTTTGTACAATTCGCCGACCACTGGCACGATTTTTTCACGAAAGTTGGGCATCTCCTCTTTCACTCGACCGAATAGCTATATTTTCACCATACCGTCACGTAAAAATAACTTATGAAAATGTTGTAAAATATCATTATGTATTATTTATGCTTACGGGACTTTCAAATATCTCGTCCAGCCGAGTGGCGGCGCTCTTGTTTTTTTTTGAGCACACCATTAGGCACATCTTAGAGACGTTGGGACAACTTCGCAGCAATTTTTCGATCAAAATCTTCACAAGGAAACCCGTTCCTCCTGATTTAATACATATTATTAAATGTTTCTATGATACATAAGTTATCGCTCTTCGTATTACATATAATCGCGTTGCATTCAGACGCAGTAAATACCTGTAATGAAGATCGACTGGCCTGCATAGAAAGCTTGTATTGGCGTTTGCCGAATCGTGACGTTGCTGTTCCCACAATGGGCCATGTTAGATTTGTTGTAATCGCTGATATCTTTAGCACAGGTTACATAACATAGAAACATGAGACAGGTATAGTTATTGACGTATTGTTATTGTCAAAAAAAAATATTTCTACAACGGTTTGTCTTCGGATATTTCGTAATTAATGAAACGATCCGTAAAGCATCAGTAGATCAATTTAAAACGATCTTGAAAATAAGATCCGACTACAAATACCATCCTAGACGATACCCACTGCGAGAATCGATTCCTCTGACGTCACTCGACAGTAAGCAAGCGATTATTTAAGCGGTACGTATAGTCGCATTGCGTAATGGCGTCTTTCCCTCGACCCGAGATTGAGACAACGAATGTTTTTCCACATTTACCACGTGTAGAAGTATGAAACAGGAATTTCCCTATAGATGGTGATAGCCATCAGTTTAGAGACCGTAAGACCGCTTCTGCAGCGCCATCATCTCCCTCTAATAGCTGACAAAGATTTTCAACACACAACAATCCAAGTTCCATACACCGATATATTTTTCTATAACCTTAAACATGTCGAGTTTTGTGCCTACGAACTACGATTTGCGGACAGTATTGGTTTTTTGTTATCATTTGAAGAAAACTGCTGCAGAATCGCATCGAATGCTTGTCGAAGCTTACGGTGAACATGCTCTTGGTAAAACACAGTGTTTCTAGTGGTTGAAAAAATTCAAAAGTGGTGATTTTGACGTGAGAAACGAAGAGCGTTGGAAACCACCAAAAAAGTTTGCAGACAACGAATTGCAATCCTTATTGGATGAAGATGATACTCAAGAAGATCTCGCGGATGAATTGAATGTGACGCAGAAAGCTGTCTTAATTCGTTTGAAAGCCATGGGAAAGATTTAGAAAGTGGGAAAATGGGTTCCGCATGAACTGAATGAAAGACAGCAAGAAAATCGAAAAACCAATTGTGAAACGCTGCTCGACAGATACAAAAGAAAGTCCATCATATCATGACAGGTGATGAAAAATGGATATATTTTGAGAATCCTAAGCGTCAGAAATCATGGGTGAATCCAGGCAAACCATTGACATCCACTGCAATCGCTTTGGAAAGAAGACAATGCTCTGTGTTTGGTGGGATCAGAAGGGTGTAATCTATTATGAGCTGCTAAAACCTGGTGAAACCGTTAACACTGATCGCTACCAACAGCAAATGATCGATTTAAATCGAGCATTGCGTGAAAAACGACCGGAATATGGAAAAAGGCAACACAAAGTCATTTTGCTCCATGATAATGCCCCATCACGCGCAGCAAAACGGGTCAGGGAAATGATCGAGGCGTTCAGTTGGGAAATACTAACGCATGCGGCTTATTCTCCAGACTTGGCTTTGACCGATTACACAGGCCGACAAAATTTGGCAAAAACATTTTATCAGAAACCGGAGTATACTATCCCGAAGGTTTTTAACACGCTGAATTCAAATCTGGCTTCAGAAATGCTCGTTTAGCTCAGGTTTCCGAAATATTATAACCTAAATGTGCAAAAAACGCGATTTTAGCCTATATTTGAGGTCATGCAGCATGGAGAAAACTTCCTTTTTCAAAAAACTGTTCAAAGTATCTCAAAGTATAGGTCTCAATCTTTCAAATGACGTTGAGTTTGCTCAAATATCTGTTTTTGTCAGCGATATATGCTATTTAAAAAATTTCATATTGCATGAATTTAAATTCCGCCGGAGTCAGCTAGAGTGATACGTTCACAGGCTGCTCCGGATTCTGATCCTCCGTGCCAAGGAACCGAGACCGTGTATTCGCCGTCCCAGCTGCGTGTTCGCAGCCGCACTCATGATCCTTCTGCCGTGGAACCGAGACGGTGTGTTCACCGTCTTAGCTGCGAATTCGCAGCTGCACTCGAAGATCCTTCTGCCAAGAAACTGAAACGGTGCGTTCGCTGTTTCAGCTGCGCGTCCGCAGCCGTACTCCTCATCCTTCCTCGGGACGATGTATTGCCGTCTCCACCGGTAGTTCCCGGGTCACACCCGACCTCCGACCGACCGACATTTGGCCAGACAAGCCCGGGTAACGACTGCGCCGTCTCAGCTGAGTATTCTCGGCCAAGTCACCGCCGACCATAAGGGACACCGGATCCCTCGCGTTCACCGCGCCGGATTGCACGCAAGCAACCGAGCGAGCGAAAGATAGTTAATAAGCACACGCGGGAGCAAACTTCGACGAAGGAGTTAACGGGTGAGGGGGTGGCGTGTTACGCCGTCTCCGCCGAGCCTTCTCCCCGTCTCTTTTCGCGAAAGGATGTCTCCGGGATTCTGGCGGGGTTTTTCCGATAGCCGCCCATTGCGCCACGTTTCTCTCGCGATCTTCCGATGCCGTGGTCTTCGTGGAGAACACTCACCAACATAGAAGCGCAATCCGATACTGCGGGTACCTCCTGGTTGCCGTACCGACCGTTCCCGACTCCGCGAGGCTCGGAGAGTGCCTTCGTTTTTCGTGCCACCTGCGCGTGGCTTCCGTATTGCACTCTTCGGTGCATTTAAATTGACATAGCGGAAAAACATTACCGAGACCTGTGTAGCGCTGTCAAACAGCGACAACAAACCGTGCAATCGAAACACCGCGCCCGCTCCCCGCGACTCTACCGACCGTTACTCGTTACGTCAGACGTGTATACATCGCCGCGTATACACAACTGCGTTCGCCGTCCCGCGCAACAGTCTTTCGCCAATCTCGAAAGTCAGCTGAGCTGACAAAACACACACGCGACCGTCGACATCAACAACACGTTTCGACGCATCTAGCATATTACAAGAAAAACCATTTAAAGCATCGAGCCGACATCCGCTTGTACATGCGTCTGCTGTAGTCAACCGAGAATAAAACTTTTGTTTATTGTTCAACCGAAACTCTCTCATATTTATTACAAACGTACCTGGTAATTCTACAAGCCATTCAAGGGCCACGATCGCCGTTTCGACGAGCTGACCGCTCATACTGACCAGTCCTCTCTCACCGTACCGTAAAAGACGTCCCCACTGCGACCAAGGCGAATAGCGACGGGCGAAGGGAACGTAGCAATTTAAAGAAGAAGGCCTTGACTACAGTGCTTCAATGAGTCACTGCGGCCTAGAGAGTCTTATGCGACGAAATGCGCATATACACATACATGGACTGCAAAAAATTACGGAACGGCTAATTATTTCAAAAACGATGATTTAAAAAATCGTTTTGAACAAAAGTTGAAAAGTTTAAAAAAAGTAATCAAACGCTGATAATTATTTGGCCTTAAAATGACTTTGAAAAATATAATGGTCAATATTAAAATTTTATACGGAATCACCTCTCTTTCGTTATATATTGTTATACGAGTCTGTTCAAAAAGTATCGCGAATTTTGTGTTTTTTCAAAAATTATTTATTTATTCATAAATATCTATTTTGTCTCCTTCAAAGTAATCCCCATCAGATATAATACACTTGTGCCAACGTTTTTTCCAATCCTCGAAGCACTTCAAAAAATCATTTTTTGTGATCTTGTTCAGCTCCTCCTTCGATTCCGTCTTTATTTCCTCAATCGTAGCGTAGCGTCGTCCTTTCATGTGCCTCTTCAGTTTCGGGAACAAGAAAAAGTCACAGGGGGCCAGGTCTGGGGAATACGGTGGCTGCGGCATCATTAGTGTGTTGTTTTTGGCCAAAAATTCGCGCACAAGCAACGATGTGTGAGCAGGTGCGTTAGTACGAATTTCGCGGCGACCCGTCTCATGCTCAAATCATTAGTAAAAATCGAATGGCACGAGCCAATCGATATGTTTAGGTCCTCAGCAACTTCTCTAACGTGATTCGACGATTGGCCAATACTATTTTCTTCACTTCATCAAAGTTTTCGTCTGTTGTTGACGTGCTCGGGCGTCTGGCACGCTCTTCGTCGTTCACATCTTCTCGGCCCTCTGAGAACATTTTGTACGACCGATAAACGTTGCTTCGGTCTAAGGTAGCTTCACCATATGCCACAGTCAACATTCGGAATGCGTCCGCGCACTTAATTTTGTTTTTCACACAAAATTTGATACAGATTCTTTGATCCATTTTTTGGAATAGGCAAAAATCGAAGACGAGCCAAAACATGTCCAAGCAAAACAGCTGTCAAAGATAAACTGAATATTCAAAATGGCCGAACTTGTCGGCATAAATGAGGGACATGAGTACCAACATAACGCCACAAAAAAATCGAAAATCAAATATACGTAACCCGCGGAAATTCAAAATTCGCGATACTTTATGAACAGACCTCGTATACAGGTCATGATTGATATCGTAATTGCTTTAAATATAAATCCAAGAAAATGAAAGAACATTACCATAAATTAATAGCTCTTTAAATATTACCCAGATAGTAAAATGAAACTTTTAAAATATACCAATGCGTCTTTCTCATTATATAATTATCTATCATTTGTTAAGATAGTGTGTTATTGATATTCGATTGCAAACATGAGAAGCGTTTCTGAGAATTTTGCCCATGTATTGAAAATTATATTGTATTAAACTATCTTGATAGAACTACTGTTGTTAATAAAAGCATGGCGTAATAAAAACATATATATCTTAATCGAGACAAGAGTTGTCAGTTATACAAAAGAAGTATAGATCAAGCTCTTTTTTCTTCTCAGGTATTTTTCATTTACTATCTGTATCTCACACAAGACATATGTTGAAATGACGTTTTATATATCGAATTATATTAACATGCGTAAGACGTAAAATGTATCATAAATATTCGTAAAACGTATAGTGTATTATAAACGTTTGTAAAACGTACGTGAAACGGTAAAAATTGTAAAACATACAAAATAGTATTTATCGCTTATTTACCGTTTTTGTCGTTTCTTTGTCGTTATCTTTTCTTTACCAATAGTCAGCCGTTCCACCAGCTGACAATTTTGCGAAAAGGCCCCGTTTATTTGTATAGAAGAGGGGGAGGAAATCAGCGCGGATAGGGGCGGACGTAAATAGCAATAT